TTTATTTTATTTTATTGCATAGTTATTTTATAATAAAAGTTTTATTTTCAATAATTAAAGAATAATAAGCAATCAATCAAAACATCATAAAAATTAATTAAATAAAGGGGTAAAAAAAATAAAATAAAAATAAAAATAAAAATTAAAAAAAAATAATATTTTTTTATTTTTTTTATTTTTTATTTATTTTTTTTTATTTTTTTTTTTTCATAAAATTTTCAAATTATTTTTAAGTAATTATTATAATAAAAAGTTTCATCCTTACCAGAAACATGAATAGATGCATTTTAAACCAATTAAAGAGGACCCCAACTACATTTATTAATAATAATAAAAATAGTAAAATTATAAATACAATATATCTTAATCATTTCAATAATAAAAATATAATATATAGAAATTTTTCAAATTCAATAGATAATAATAATGACAATAAACCTAAATTCAGAATATCAAAAGAGTTAGAATCATTGGGTGTTTACTATTCAAGCGAAGAAAATAATACAGAATTTACAGAGGATTATGAAGAGAATGAAGATGAAGATGTCCATGATGAAAAAGAAGATCAAACAGTACAAAAACAATATCACGAACATTTCCAAAAATTAAATCAAGAAGATTTAACTCAGTTTGGTAATTTTGAAGAGTATTTACAAAATGGTAAAAAGTTTCAAGATATGATTTACAGAATCAAAGATAACTTTGAACAATCTCAAGTTGAAAGAAAAAGATTGTCACTTGAAGATTTAGAGTTTGAATCATTCGAAGATTTAGAAAAGAAAATAGAAAAGAAAATGGCAGATCAATACGAAGAAAAAGAGAAAAAATTATCAACATTAACAGAAAGCGATTTCCTCGATTACGATAAAAACAAAGTTGAAGTGTTCAACAAGGTCAGTGACTCTTTTATCTCTGCCAAAACTCATTTCGAAACACCATTTGAAAATACTGAAAAGCGATTAGAATCAAATCAAATCAAAGATTTACCAGAAGGTATAGATAATATGATGACAGACGGACTATCGATTGTAAACACACCAGAAAAAGATTCATCTTCATCTCCATCTCCTTCCCCATCCCCATCTTCATCAGCATTCAGTAGAGCAGAGGACCAAAGAGGAGGCATTGCTTCAAGAATTTCAAAAATTAAACAAAAAATATCAAAAGAAAAATTAAATGTAAATAGAATTAGTGGTGAAGACTTAAACGAACTTTTTTCACTCTACAGAGAAGATCCTATCAACAATAATGCCGAATCGTTATCAAAAAAATACAATGTAAATCAAAAATCAATCGAAAATTTATTAAAATACACTACTATTCCAATTATTGTCAAATATAACACTGGCTTAAAAACTGGTCATTGGAATGTCGTTTTTGAAAAATAATAAATATAAATAAAGTATTGCTTATACAATTTTATATAATATTTTTTATTTTTTATTTTTTATTTTATTTTTTTTAACTCCTAAACCCCACATCCTTCGATTTATATATTTTTTTTTTATATTTTTAAATTTTTATATTTTTACATTTTTATATTTAAATTTTTTAGTTTTTGGGGTGTGGGAAGTGGGAGGGGGACATATATTAGCTTTTTTATAAATCAAGTAATACAAGAATATTTATATTTTATTTTTTAAAATTAAAAAAAATATTAAAACTTTAAAACTTTTTTATTTATATTTTTTAAAAAGCTATTTAATAAAATACATATAATAATAATAGTTATTATATATAATTAAAAATAAAATGGAAAGTAATATAATTAGATGGTTAAATAATAGCAAAGATTCTATTTTGGATTCAATTTTAATAGTTTCAGGAAATGGTTTTTTTATTTCCAAATTAAATTTGATGGAATTTGCATCCTCAAAAAGATCATAGTAAGTATATTTTTTATATATTATTATTAATTATAAAAAAAATTTATAAATTTATTAACAAGTTTCTTTTTATTTTTAAAGTTTAAAAAAATTTAGAAAGGGTTTAACTAAAGATCAAAGTGAATTGTTAAAAAGCCAAATCTTAAATGTTTTACCAAGTTATTATATAAATAATACTAGTGCTAATGACAATGAAATAATGTATAGTTATAACAATGGAAAAGAAAATAACCTTAGATTTGAAAGTTCAATAAGACAAATAATTGATAATAATTTGGTATTAAATAGAAACCATTTTGTAAAGGTTAATATTAGCAACAACACCAACAACAACAACAATAATAATAATAGCAACAATAATAATGATAACAATTATGTTAATTCTATTAACAATAATAACTATATTCCAACAGGAGATCAAGTTTCAATTGACATTAATAAACTTCAAAAGATTCAAAAAGAGTGTTCTGAATCGTCAAGTAATGGTCCTTGTATAGTAAAGAATAATGGTATAAATGAAATTTCAGTTATTGAATTGGTACCAGATAGTGCTAAGAATTATTTCAATAAAAACATTCCCTTGGAGATTTCAAAGTTAATGGACCCACAAGAGTATTATATGTTTATTTCAAAACTAAACCAAATCTATTCCGGAGATATTTTTATTTTAGTGTATATTATAATTTATTTACTTTCAATAGGATGTGTTGGTTTAGTTGCATTTACTTCAAGTAGAGGAGATGATGTTATAATTGCATGTATCATTTTCTCAGTCATTACCGTATGTTTCTTTATATTTTACTTTATTTATTGCCTCTATCTCAAAGTAAGTAGTTTTTTATTATATTTAAATACAATTTCATTAAATACTAATAATTTAAAACTTTTATATTGTAGTACATTCCATTAACAAGGGCTGTTCATCATAAGAATTTAAAATTAATTAAACAAAACTCAAGACTAGAATTTTCATTGGTATATAAACAAGTTAAATTTCCACAAACTCGTGATACAATGACCCTTCAAATTTTAATTTTAAATAATGATAAAGCAGCCACTAACAACGACCAAAAAGAAATTGAAAAGGATAATTTAAGAGATGATATCATTAATGAAACAATTAATAACAATCTCAATAAATTAAATCAAATAGATAATGTTTAAAAACTATATAGTTTAAATATTTAAAATAAACCATTTTTTTAATAAACAAAAAAACACACAATGTGGCCTCTATTTTTTTTAGTTTAATATATTTTTTTTTTTTCTTCATTTTTAAATAAATCTATTTTTAAAATATACTATAAAAAAGTGGGATTGGTGTGAGTGTGTCCATAAGGGGGTTACAGAATTCATACACAAATACAGATGTGTTTATTTTTATTTTTTAAAAAATAAAACTTTGTGTTTATTTGTGGTAATGTGTGTTTTTTTATATTTTTATGTGTGTGGGTTGTGTGGTTATCTGTGAAATTTTATTTATTTATTTATAAAAATAAATATTAATTTTCATTGTCATTGCCATTTTATAATTATTTATAATTTTTTCATTTCTTTCATTTTATAAATTAATTAAAACAATATTTATTATTTTTTTTTTTTTTTTTTTTTTGTTTTTATTTAAAACCATTTTTTTATATATTTTTTGAAACAAATATAAAAAACTATAAGAAAAATCATATATATATGATTAACTAATTATCAAAATGGAAAGTAATCTAATAAATTGGATAAGTAATTGCAATCCACAAATAATCGATATCCTGGTAACTTTATCAAATAATGAAATATTTATATGTAGAAAAAACTTAAAAAAAATAATTAAATCCCCCAAAAAATTGTAAAAACTATAAAAAATATTATTAAATTAAAGCTTTATTTAAACAATATTAATTATATTTTATTAATTTAGGTTTAAGATTGATATTAATTTTGAAAAGTATAGTTTATTAAAAAAAGAATTAGAAAGTATAGATTTTTATTTTAATAATAGGAATAATGAAATTATTTTAATAGAAAATTATTATGAAGAAAATTTCATAAAAATAAATCCCAGTATCGATAGCTCAATAAAACTATTAATAATAAACAACTTTAATTTAAATCAAAAATATGTAAAGGTTATTTTTGATAACGATTGTAATAAAAACACAAGTATAAATAATAATGATAATATTAAAAACAATAATAACAACAAAAGCAATATAAACTCTCCAGTTCCAAATGCATTCGAAAATAATAATATTTTAAATATAGAATTAGTGCCAAAAACAACACTATGCTATTTTGATAAAAGAATTCCATTTGAAATTGTGCATTTATTATCAACAAAAGAATACTCAAATCTAATAAGCTCTATAAATTCGATTTATCTTGGTATGTGGGTTATCATTTTAATTATATGTTTATTTTTACTTGGTATAATCATATTTGCTGTATTGGTTTATACCAGTTATTTAAAAAAAATTAGTTGGATTGTTATTGTAACACTATCTTCAATAAGTTGGATGTTTATAATATTCCGTATTTATTATGTAAATTTTTTAAGAGTAAGTTATAATTTTTTTTTTTTATTCTATTAATTTTTATTTAAACAAAATTATTTTTTCAAAATTATTAACAATATTAATTACTATAGTATAAATTAATAGAATTAAAACTATATAATTTTAATGAAAAATTACAATATCTAAACATTCCATTAGAATTTGTATTAGAAAAGAAAAAAGAGAAATTTATTCAAACTAATGATAATATTACAATAGGAATAATATATTATATAAATCAATATAAA